TCCCATGACCAGCGCTACACAAAAAGCAAACAAAATATGGCAAACCGGATGTGGTTTAATCGTCTGGTCAGGAAATATTTATTTCCACAGAACTTTATCCCACCATGCATTTATTTCCCGGCGTTTGAATGTACATTTCATATTTGTTGTCTATGCTCTTTGCTGAGTGTTGTTTTATGTTTTTTGGTTGTTTATGTGTCCATGGGTTATTATGTTTATGGTTGTTTATGTTTGTCATGTTATGTTGTCTATGTTTATTAATGTTGTTGTTGTTGTTGTTGTTGTTGTTTTGTTGCTGTTGTTTAATGTCAGTTGCTTTGTCATCGCCATCGAGATTAGAAGTATGTTGAAAATTTGTATGATGGAAATCAGAAAAGCAACTGAAAGACATCCATCTAATCTCAGGCACCGTTCTGCTTCACGTAAAAAAAAATAATTTTCCATCAACAAATCAAGAGAGAGGCATTTTGTGTCAGTCATGTGAATGATTTTTTTGAAAATATTGTACTTGGAATAAGAAAAAACGAAAAAAGATAATCGGCAATAAATTTTATAGTGGCTTAGTCAGAAATTTTGCGTAAAGAACATAAAATAAACACTTTTACTAACAGTTATTATTATTCTTATTATTTTCATCCCATTTCTGGCAATATTATTTTATGTGGTTAAAAACGTTGTAATAGAACTCGCAGTTCCTGAAAGCAAAAACAAAAATATACACCAAATCATCTATAAACAACACATGTTCATGTACAAATAGACACACAGTCCCTCAAACACACACACACGCACGCACGCGTACACACAGTCAAACACACACACACAAATTCGCCCAACAACGTTACATATCCATGCAAAACTTACATTAATTACATCAGGTTTTTCCATTACTTCGATAAAAATATTATTAATATTTATTATCGCAAAAATTATTTTTTGCAACTATCATTATCGTGAGACTTGTTCATCATCGCCATCGACTTCATCATCATCGCCATCTTCATCAACCAACTTTTTTATTCTCGTAAGTTATCCTTATTTTATATATATATTTTTTTAATAATTCTTATTTCAAAATAATTTACACATTGTATGCTTGCCTCAACAGAATCACATTCCTTTAATAAATATCTGCAATGGCGTAATTGGGAGTTATAATACTTCTCAGCAGCAGTTGCAGTGGCCCCACCATCATCATCTCCTAATTTATATTACTAACATTATCTGCTGTTTTGTGATTTGCATACATGTTTGTGTATAAATGTGCATATGTGTGCGCGAGTTTGTTTATAAATCTGTGTATGTGTGTGTAGATGTGTACGTGTGTGAGTGTAAATGTGTGTGTGTGTGTGTGTGGGGGGGTATGTGTAGATGTGTGTACGTGTGTGTGTGTGTGTGTGTGTGTGTGTGTGTGTGTGTGTGTACGTGCATGTATGTGTGCACCTATGTGATTATTTATTTATGGTCCTGTAATACAATTGAACTTTTGCGTGCGATTGAAAGCCGCAATCAATATCACATCGATCCATCTCCCTATCTGCTTATGACGTGCAATTTGACGCAATAATTTGACGTCATTCAACGCCGTCATCGTGACTATCAACTTTGTTATCATCGTCATCATGGCTATCAACTTTGTCATCGTCATCGTCGTCCACATCATTGTCATTTCCATTATCATTATTGACATCGTATTATTATTACATGCACACCCACAAACACACACAGGCACACACACACACATACACACATTTAAAAGTATTTCTTAACTAGCACGAGATCCAATCATTCAATGTTTTTTTGGCTAATGCCATTAAAAAACCAAACAATATGACCAAATTGAATTTAATAAACGTCAAGTAATTGTTTTTTTTTACGAAATTAGTTAAAGTAAATTAGTTAAAGGAAATTAGTTTTCCAGCTGATTCTACTTTAAAAATTTTTTCAACTTCAAACTCGAGAACGCTTTCTCTTAATGCATCTCGAAAACATCAAACTCAGAAGAAAGACAATTTCCAATACTAACTATAATCGTACGAGGAGATCTTTGTTTTGAATAAATCAACAAAAAGAGACAAAAACATTGAATAGATAATCAAAAGAAACCAAAAAATACAAATACGGATAATTTTTTAGTAAAATAACATAATGGAATGCGTGGAACAGCTTCCTAACACGTCGGTCAGACCGGATTTACAACGCCTTTTGCGAGTTATTTCTTAACCAGACAAATACACACGCACAGACACACAGACATAAACACAGACACACACGCACACACACACACACACATGCACACATACAAACACAAGCACACACACACATTGTGTTAACATCATTCTTTATAATCAAACATTGACACGTGTCATTCATGCAACTCAGCATGACAACTGCAAAAATGTAAAGGAAAAAGTTTTAAATAAGATAAAACCGTAAAATTGCAAAAAAAAAATTTTGTTTTACGCAATCATTGTGGGGATAACGTGGGGGTAATACTCGAGTTCTCCATCCATGGTCCATAGGGATTTTCCATCTATCCAATTTTCCTGCATTCATTCATCCGTCTATCTGATTTGCATCCATCCATCTGATTTTCATCCATCCATCTGACTTTCATTCATCTGCGTTATCTTTCACTCATTCATTCATCTTTTTTTTTCTCTATTCGTTGCTTCGTCTTATGAAGATCTAATACAGCTATGTACATGAACATGCCATAGTTACTACGGCAAAGAACACTAGATTGGCGATTTTTTTAAAATAACAACATGAAAACACACATACACGCACGCAAACACACACATACATGAAAACACACACACACGCGCGCACATAGTACACCCGGATGCTGGCACGCACTTAAGCATTTTGTGAAAATCTCGAGAATAATACAAGCGGTTAGGATGAAGATTTGATGATTAGAAAATGATGACGATGATGACAATGACCACGATGTAGACAATAATGAAAGCGGTGATGGCAATGATGACAACGCATCTGATGATGAGGACAATGAAGACGCCGGGTTGATGAACGAATGATGGCCCTAAAAATTCATTAAGTCATAAATATGACACCTGTTTGAATGGCGGTAGGTTGTTTGTTTTATTTGTGTGTGTGTGATATTTATTTGTGATAATCTTTCAACTAATTTGCAATTCAAAATGCTTTTAAGGATGTTTTAATCGTTAATTTTCATTTAAATTTTTCATTTCATTTAATTAAACGTTTTTCTTTGTAACAAAAGCCCACTTTACTGAAGTTTTAAATAAATTGATGAGTCTCTACCATCTTAGATGTATTGTAATTAGTGCTAAAGTTTATAAGTGCTCGCGTGTCTGTCCAAGCTTCTTAGACACACACGAACGCACGAACGCACACAAACACATAAACACACACACACACAAACACACACGGATATGTATGTATCAATTATTCAAGATTAAATTTTACAAAGGAAAATGTTTTTAGATAACAAATTACCTTTTTTTAAAAACATAAGCATGAAACATCAGAAAAAAATTGAAAACTTCTCTAAACACGACAAAATAGAAATAATGGGTTTTGTTAAGATTAAACAGAAGATGTGGACACTGTGCATGAAGTATGTTTGACACGCAAAAAATTATTTATTAACAATCTACTACAAACGTCATATAGATATTCAAAAAGTCATCTATGGATAATATTATCAGTGGAATGAAACTCTGCCAGAATGTAAAAAAATACGAATTTTTAACTAACTGCACCCCTTTTAAAAAAAAAAGACACATAGCGCCTAGGATCTGATAATGAAAGTACTTACGTAATCAAAGGAATCGTGAAAAATAAAGTAGAACTGTTGCCGATACAGACAAATTGAAACTTGGAATTTGTTATCAAAACAATAAAACAAATGGTACTATTATATTATAAAGTTTCTTTAAATAATTATGTTACCCAATTAAATCATTGTTTATGTAATACATTGTTATTGACATTTCTGCCATCTACTTATGTTTGAAAAATTATTTTATAGGTGTTGTTATTAAGAAAATATAGACTGACTTACATATATCTATTATATGTTTTAGTAAATGTTTTATTCGTAGTTGGCACTTTTAAAACATGCCTTTTAAAACCACGAGGTGTGCCTATAAAACCCAGAAGTGTCAATAAAACAAAGGATCTTTCAAAAAATTAGATTGCTTAGCATTGTATGTGACTAATGTCTGAACGATTTAACAAAGGTAGATTCTTTGTTGCATCTGTAGCAAATGTTTCTACCAAATGTTAATACATAGAACAAGGACCATCAGAAGTTTCTTCACAATGGAATCAACAAAAACCTGTTTTACGCAACCCAAACGTTTTGGTTTTTAATATTTTTGCTTAGTCATCGTTAGCTATTTTGTCGACAATTGCCAAGTAATGTTTGATTACTTTTTAAAAATATTTTCATGTGTAACGTTTTTGTCGTTACTAACCTTATAGATTTTGTCAATTTTATTTTTTGCAAATTTCTTCATTTTTCAATTTGTTATTTAACGACTGTGAATGGTTTCTTGCTCAAATAATTTCTAATTCTCAAGTCTACAAAACTTTTATTTTTTGTCGGTACATATTTTGCTTAAAGTGTTTTTGTATTATTACAAAATTTCATTGAGAAAAAAATTATGTAATTGCATAAATTTCTTTTTAATACAAACTTAATCAAGTTTCTCTGTCTTATTGTTTTGTTTGAATTAACATATGACTTAAAGATTTCTACTGTGTTTTAGTGAATGTGAGATAGGTAACCACCCACCCACCTACCCACACACACACATGTGTGTAGAAAATGTTTCTACTAAATACATAGAATAAGAATCATCAGACGTTTTCACACTATGGCTGTTGCGCTCAACAAAACTATACATGCGGAATGAAGTTCATTGGTTGCGGTTTCCCTTAAGAGTTCAGTTTATTTAAAGACAAAGACAAGTTGTACCAATGACGCACCGGTCTATAAGCTACATAAGATGACTAGATTAGATCAAACCTTTAAAACGTCTCTTGAATATTGGAAAAAAGTGAAGTTATCAAAATCGGGAGGGTTTTTTGCCATATATTCCTCAACGAGTGATCACTTTCTGTTACTCAACCTAACGGAAGTTTTCAGAGTCCGCGGTTTCCTTACTGTATCGTACTTGGTACAAATGGTATTTTTGACTGTGAAGATGGTGCTGAACACATTTAGAGAAGCACGACCACCTGGAATATACGAGCAAGATTGCCTGGATGAAATCTGCAAGAGATTGGGTGAGATGGAATGCATACCGAAAGCTCTTGCGCTACCATCCAGGGGCCCTGTATTAGAAGATGCTGCAAATATTATGACTGCATCTATAGGCAAGTGCGTCAAAAATTAAAAAAGATGTCATATTCATGGAGGGTAAAGTTGGAAATGAGGTGGCAGTGACGAATGACGAAGAAATTTTAAAAGTGCAAGAAATAGACACATGTGCAAGACGAATTAAAGGTTCTTTCCAGGAGCGCGTCCAGTAAGCATGGATCAGAAGAACATATCCGAAGTCACGACCAAAACGACTCAACGAGTGGCGAGAGGCCGCCTGCCAAAAAAAAACTCAACAACAACTATCATTTTAAATATCCTCCATTCAATGATGACGACCCTCACGTTCATAGTAGGGTCATCAATGAAATTTATTGGGACTATTTTTATTTCATTCCTTTGTTCCTTTTTTTATATAAAGTTTCATTTTAACATGAGGTGACTACGCAAGATAAAGTCGTGTTTTTGAAAATAAGTAATTGAAAATGTGTTTATATTTAAAACAATGATTAACCGTAACTTAACAATAAAGCCAGCAACATAAGCAACAGCAAGATTATTTCAAACAGCATTTGCCAATGTGTATTAACAAACTAAACCACGCCAACACAACGTCATCAACAACGTCACCAATCACAACATTAAACACATCAACATCGGCCGCAACATCAACATCAACCTAATCAACCCATAAATATCACAGCAAACATCATCAACAACAACACCCTCAACAACATCAAAAACGACAACAACAACAACGACAACAACAGCGCAAAGTCAACGTAGATAGCGGGGAACGAAGGCACTAAATAAGCATTATTAACTATAATAAACAACGGTCATAAACAACAAAAACAAACCAACTGAAAATATTTACAACATCAGTTCAACTACATTTGTTAGTATTAAGCATCTAATTGATAAAAAAAATAAAACAAATGAGAAATTTTCAGAGGAACTACATTCAATCTCATCGCAAAGAAACCGAATAAAATTTTATTTGAACTCAAAAACATGGAGCAAATAACGAAAGAATAATGCCTGAAAATAGCATATTAGATACACATGGCAATGGAATTAAAACGAACGATGACTCAGTGGATGGAAAATATTAAAAAATTAAATAAATAAACAAACTAAACAATTGAATGACCAAGGAACACAGTTCATGAAACCGTTTATTAAGTATTAGTTACATCAAATATAAGTGTATGAACATGTATGAATATTGTGTGTGGTGTGTGTGTGTGTGTGTGTGTGTGTGTGTGTGTGTGTGTGTGTGTGTAGGAGTTTTCCTCCAGTTCCCAACAAACATATGCATGTTCGTAATAAAATTTCATTAGCGTCATCATGACTACTTAATTCATATATGTGGCATACGCACACAGACATAAACATACCCACACGCGCGCGCACATAAATATGTCCTATTATGTGTGTGTGTATGTGTGTGTGTTTGTGTGTGTGTGAGTGTGTATTTATTTCTCAGAAATTACATAAATCCAAGTCGCCGTGGCTAAGAAAAAACTTGAAAGCGAAACACATGTACATTTTGATTTATAACTGCTTAAATTAATTTGTACAGTTTTTTGGCTCCATTTCCAATGTTTTTTTAGGTTTTTTAAATTTTTTGATGTATTTAATTTCAATAATTAATATTCATACAAAAACTGATGAAATTCATGAAAATATTTAAAACGTTCAACAATGTTTATAACTGTTTGCTCGCAAACTCGATGAAAATGAACAAGTATTTTACTTTTTTACCCATGGCTTCCTATTGCAATCTCATTTTCAAATGTCAATTTGTTGACATTTCGCCTGAAAAGACGGTGTATGTCTGGTCAGAACAACTTTTTTTTCAAAAAAGTTACAAAATCTCATCTCTGACAACAGCTTTGGCAGAAAAAAAAAACAAAAAAAATCAACAACAGCAAGAAGAAAAATGTCAGTAACAACGCAAACAACAACCAACGTCAATTACATGGCGTTTTGTATTTAAAAGCTGATCAACAACCTTTTAATAAGAAGGTAATGAATGTATATATATATATATATATATATATATATATATATATATATATTAGGGATGCACCGAAGTTCGGCCCCGGCTCCGGCCAAAATCCGGCTTTTTTTTCAAATCCGGTCGAATCCGACCCCGGCCGGATTTGGTGGCCGGATTTAGGGCCGGATTTAAGCGTCTATCAACTTTTTAAAATGTTAGAAATAGAAAAAAAAATTTTATTGAATTCAATTAATTTTATGTCAATAAGTTAATGGCTAAAGCTAAGCTAAAGGCATACATGACACATAATAACAACATCACTAATTGTGAGGTGATCTGGACAATTTTCTTTATGCTATAACATGGGTTATGCATAAATTATAAGCTGATCTTTGTGTAAAAGAACTTGTGCACGTGTATATACTATATATTGATAATTGCACATGACGGATCATATAGCTACATAATATATATATATATATATATATATATATATATAAAGATATATATATATATATTTAGAGAGAGAGAGAGAGAGAGAGAGAGATACATAAGCACATAATTTAAGAACATGGTATGTTAAAGGTTAGGCTAGGTATACATGACACATAATTACAACATCGATAATTGTGCGGTGAGCTGGACAATTTTCTTTGTGCTTTAACTTGGGTTATGCAAATATGCATAAATTATAAGCTGATCTTTGTGTACAGAATTTGGCGTATCACACAACTAATTCATATATTTGAATTAAATAACAATTTGCTTGGTGTTATTTTTTGATGTTCAACATGTAGATAACCGTAAATGTGAGTATTTTTACTAACGTATGTAAAATGGTAACTAAAATCCGGCCCCGGCTCCGGCCCTGGCCGGTTTTTGAATTTCAAAAACCTGAATCCGGTGCATCCATAATATATATATATATATATATATATTACATATAATTTATTCACCATCACATCATTATCTATCTCATCATTACGGTCACCATAGTAACATGAAATCATTTGTAAACAGTGACTGATGGTGATAAATGATTATGAACGATGATGACGACAACGACGACGATGATGATGACTATGATGATGGTGATAACGATGATGATGATGAAGATGTAGCAGCAGTAGTAGTCGTATCAGCGGCAGTAGCAGCAATGTTATTATATTTTTATTGCTTATATGACCGAGAGCGCCATATAAATCTTCATCACCAAATAATAACAACAATAATAATAATTTTCATAAATATCATAATTTTTATCATTGTTGTTGTTATTGTCGTTGTGATTGTTGTTGTTATTTATGATTATTATTGTTGTTACTGTTGCAATAATGTTTAGATAACGTTTAAATGAAATCAATATTAATACTACGTGATAGGCGCGGCTTGCATTCAAAGGCGGTCACTTCAACAGCAGCGCCAGACACCTTTACTACATAACATTTATGCTGCCCAGTATTTTGTCATTGTCAGTGTTTATACACGACTCAAGTGTTTATACGCGATAGAAGAAAGAAGCAGTGTTACTAATATCAGCATAACCTTCAAATGTGACCAAGAATAATTTCGGTCAACCATGAAACACCGACATACACACAAATGCATACGCACACAGTTACATATTCACACACAAACAAACACACACATATAAACACACATCTTATTGTTTCATTACCTTTTCCTAAGTTATGGAAAAGGACAAACTTGTCGTGCGATACCCATGTAACAAACACGTTATTATTCAAACAACAACAACAACAACAGTAGTAGCAATAGTAGTAGTAGCAGTAGTAGTAATAGTAGTAGTAGTAGTAGTAATACTGGTAGTAGTAATAATAATAACAATAATAATAAATTCCATTTTGAGAACCAAGCAGATGAGCAGAAATTATCATATCTCTCCATGTACGACGTACAGAGCAAATATACGATGATAGTAATAAAAATTGACCCCGCGTGCTTTCGAACCAGGTCGCCGCGTGATACAAGACAAGCAACTAGCTAGCTGCTACACACAACAGGCATCACATAGATAATTGTTACGATGCAGTTGCGCTAAATAACATTAGCCTGACGTTTCTTGCAGATGTAATGGTTGCGGATCGGTTATCGCAAAAATTGAGTAGCGTTACTTCTGTTGCAAATGGTGTCTATTGATGTAGCAAAAGTTGTAGCGGTGGTAGTAGTAGCAGTAGCAGCAGCAGTAGTTATAGTTGTTGTTGATGTAGTAGTAGTAGCAGTGGTAGTAGTAGTTGTTGTTGTAGCTGTAGTAGTTGTTGTTATTGTCATAGTTGTAGTAGTAGTAGTAGTACTAGTAGTAGTAGTAGTACTAGTAGTAGTAGTAGTACTAGTAGTAGTAGTAGTACTAGTAGTACTAGTAGTAGTAGTAGTAGTAGTAGTAGTAGTAGTAGTAGTAGTAGTAGTAGTAGTAGTAGTAGTAGTAGTAGTAGTAGTAAGAGTAGCAGTGTTATAATAAAAAAACAAATATATAACATTCAGATACATTCATACACACAATCCCAAAACAAAAGAATTCCAGACACAGACTCAAACTAAGACGCACAGAGAGAGAAAGAGAGAGAGAGAGAAAGAGAGAGAGAGAGGGAGAAAAAGAAAAAACGAAAGAGAAAAACATACCTATAGACACACATACACACGACAAACACGCACATACAAACACACGGACACGTAGAAACATGGAAAAGTCGACGTCATCATTATCACTGCATGTGAAACTGCATGCACATTAACAAGGACAGTTTTTCTTTTGTTTGCAATGTTCATAATCCGTTTATGCTATTTGTCTCTCTTTTCTCCCTCTCACTCTCTTTCCATCTCTCTCTTTCTTTCTCTTTCGTTCTCTCTTTCTATTTTTCTTTTTCTTAAAAAATATGGAGGATTTGTCATGTCTCTCTCTCTCTCTCTTTCTCTCTCTCTCTCTCTTTCTGTCTTTTTATCTACCACTCGTTAAAAAAGTGATAAAAATCTGTCTTTCCTCTCTCTATCTTTCTTTTTCTATCTTTGTTTTTGCTCTTTCTCTTTCTCTCTCTCTCTTTTTTTCTTTCTCTCTTTTTCTCTTATTTTCATCAAGCTTCTCTCATTCTTCTTTCGAATTAGAAGTAAAAATTGGACAGAAATATAATTAACGAATCAACAGAAGCCATTCCTTCTTCGGAGTGAAATGTTTAATTGAAAAAGAATTCTACTTTTAATTGAAATGTATACGTATACACGTTTAATTTTTTTAAATAAAAAAGGAGAGAAAGAATGAAAGAGAGAAAGAAAAAAAGAAAGAGAAAGAGAAAAAGAATGTGAAAAAATGAAATAAAATAACTGGATTGGAGTGAATTAAAAACAATAAAAAAAAAATAAATCCATGAATTCAATTGAAGACGAAAACATTTCATTCATTTTTTATCACATTCAAGCCTGCATTACTTTAAAATAAATTATTTATTATTGTTGTTAGTTATTATTATTATAATTATTATTGATGATACTAATTATTATTATTATTTAATTATTTATTTATAATTTAATTTGTCATCCATCTTTTAGCGACTTACGTGTGTTGAGTGTTAGTTAGTGTTTAAAATGTTATAAGTTTATTATTATTGTTTAATTATTTAAATATTCTTCAATTATTATTTAATTTGTCGTCCATCTTTGAAAATGGAAGTAGAAAGTTTCATGATGTGAAAGATGGATTACGATGGTTATAGAATTCTTCAGTTACGTAAGCAGGCGTGTATGGAAAAATTTTAATTAAATAATCCTA